AATCTAAAAAAATGAAACAAAAAAACTGATCAAAGCACACAATGCCATTCTGCCCTTCTGCATTACATGCTAAAAATGTGGAAATTACTATCATTGGTACAGAATGTGGTAAACCACAACTTCTGTTTAGTGTGAGAAAGATATCAAATAAGGATCATCAAATATTTTATCAATTTCTAGATACAATTTTATATACTTGTAGAACATCATTTAAAAATATCAATGAATTAACTTCGGCTATACCATTACCAAAATTCACAAATAAATATCTCAACGATAATGATAATGCTATATTACCTGAAATAGTAGAGTCTCTAATTAAATCCAAAAATGACGATGATGAAAAGAGTTCTGATCTTGAATATGATATTGCCGAATCTGGTGAAGAGAATAATCAGGATATCGATTGTAAGGTTGAATCTAGAAATTTTGACAATAGTGAAGATGTGATTAGTGATCCTATTCAGGAGCTTTTTGCTCATATTTTTGTTAATGATTCCTGGACATGTGCTTCTTCTATTGAAAAACTATATTACTCAGCAAAAATTTATCTTAATATTTGCTGTAATTGCGGTACTACTAATATTGAAAGAGTAGAAAAATATATATTTGATGTGTAACAACTGTACTACAAATTCAAAAAGGCGATATGAATAGAAGCCAACAGATAAAAGCAATAGTAGTAAAAAGTCTTGTAATAAAATATTGTAAGTTGAGAATGTTAGTCGTATGTATATAATAGCTAATGCATTTAAGTATTGTATTACCCAATCAAATCATATAATGTATATTTTAGTATAATTTTTTTGTAATAAAATTTGGTCAATTCTGATTGGTCGATTCCTTACTGTGCCCAAAAATAAAATTTTTTTACCTTAGGTCTGATGACTTGCCTAGTTATGAGAACTAATAATACAAATTTGTATAGCCTAAAATAAAATCAAGTATTTTTTTTTTTTTAATATCAAAGTGATCTCATAGTTGGTTGTTTTTATTAGTTTATATACTAAGCTGATCAAAGTCAGCTGCTACTTATTTGATATATGGTTTTAGAGAATACAACTAGCTATACATACAACTTTTGATTGTCTATTTAAGTAGTTTGCTTTAAGGTTCTACACTAGATGCTATACCTATAATTCAACTAAGAATTACTTCTTTAAACCCTCTGCGCTGCTATATCCTTATAAAGAACCAATATTTGCTATAGGAAGTGCCCAACCTAGGGCTAATTTATCTTCGAGATAAACTTGCTAGAGCTTTCTATATCCACAATCTGGCTAATCTAGACTTTGGTAACTTATGCCAAATTTAAGAACAAGTACTTGCAAGCCGAATTATCTACTTCTGTCTTTGTAGAGTTTACTTAGATCTTAGTATACACTTTATAGACTATTACTGATTTTAATTCTAACAATCTTAAACTACTAATCTAGATGGTTTGAAAGGGCTATAACCTGCTCCTGGCCCCATAGTTGGGTTCTTTTCTTTTAGTTACTCTTTTGATAGCCTGGTTGGTGAAGTGCCTTGCCAAACACTTTGGTTCTATTCAGTTTTGCCAGTTTTCTTGGTAACAATCCTTTATATAGTACCATCAAAGATCTGTGCTATTTTTTACTCATGTCTTGCCAAGCGAGTTCCATTATCTTTCTTGGTTTTCTGGGTTACTATAATCCAGAAGCTTATTCATATTACTCATATATTACACAAATACCCTATGATTTCTCAATCCTGTTGGTGCTATCAAGGTTACAGGGATCTTATTTCAACCAATTAATAGA